AAATGTTTTCACCTTAACTGCAACGGTCCTGTTTTGGTCGGAGGTCTGGAAAACGGTACTGAGTTATGGAGGTTGGAGAGACTCGTATTTCTTTGATATCATATATATAATTTTAATCCAATTTTATTCCACGGCAAATCAGCATTTCTTACCAAATCAGCATCAACCACCATCAAGCTGATCAAGAAAACCGGGATTTTGTACATTTTGCCTGGCAGAATTTCATTGTTCTGAGGTTAATCAGCGTAAATTAGCTCGAACGCCTATCGTCATTAGAGTACTTTGTGGCCTTCATGTTACTAACCAATTATATGTAAAATACAGTATCAGAAAAACAATATCCATGTAAAGTATGTAACATTCCAGACGCAAGCAAATATAATATTTCGATTGCTCATTTTCACTGTGACGAAAGAATTAATGATTATTTATTCAACTTCTGTATTTTTGTTTTCCTTATTCATTTAGTTGACTGGGAAAGAGCACATCAATGAACTTTATTTTGTTCCACCCAACAGCGCGATGCTGGTTTGCGTCCTTGCAATGCAGGTGCTCTAATTTCATGGAGTTCTGACTTCCTCCCTCAAGAGCGATTAAAAAGTGCCATTAGGCTCTGCACAGAGAGTAAGCCTGAACAAGTAAATAATATCCCTCAATGATGAAGAACATGTCTAAGCCGTTAAGCGCAGCAATCTTCATGTTTTCATGGTCTCTTTGCATCTGAACTTCTGCATCAAAACCTTACCTCTTTCCATCGAATTCTGTATTATCCACTGTAGACGTAATGTGAAAGTTTGCTGTTTCAATGAGGCGTTCGAAAGACACCGTTTAAAAGTTAGTGCTTAACGCCCCTACATTTTTTTCTGCATCGTTCGGTTCGCTAAATCGATTCATTCTATCACACTTGGTTCAAGATGTTATTTGAATTCTTCGACATCATTGTTATTACCATGTACGATCGATCTGGAACCATTGAGACAATCGGAATAATTTCCTTTTTTGGTGTAAGCGGAGGGTGTCACGCCCACCTTGCCTGATACATGAGCTTCTTTGGATATCGATGGGATTACGGCACGCAGAGCCATGGTGACTCAGCGATTCTCACCTTGATCAAGAGCATCTTGTACGTCTAAGAAAAAATCTCCCACCAACCTGAGGACATAAAACAATTTCTGACATTGCGCTAATGAATCAATGTAAAGAATCATTACTTTTTTCGATTTAGCAAAATACCAGTTGCTTTTCACATTTGCAACTTTGAACGATGAAGTAAATTATTAATATTATGCACCATGTCAATTATTTCACTCATAAATAACAGACGTTACATGCAAATTAAGTAAGTTCCCTTGGCCAACAAAAGCCAAGATTCATTCATCCGCAGCTATTGTTCATGAAATAGTATACGAGTTAGAGACTTTAAATTAATCAACTTTCTCGTCCTTGCATTTTTGCATAATTATCTTCTGCATGGATTAATATCACAAACTAGCACGTAGCCTGGTTTTCTAGCTATCAATGAGCATCTGCGATCGTCGAGTAGTAACTTAAGGTTGTGAAACCCATAGGCTAAAGCTTAGTTGGATTGCAACCGCCATTTTAGCAGAAGAAGGCTTAAAAGAGAGAAAAATAGAGGAAGTGAGTGACAAGCACAATCTAGGTGACTGCTCCACATTGGCAAATTGGGTGACTAAGTTAATCATTGAGTATCCATTTCTTCTCTACCAAGTATCAGTGAAGCAACCGGGGGCAATCGCACAAATTTCGACTTCGGTAATAGGTAATTTTCCATGCAGAGACGCGTATCATGCACCGAGCTGAACATGGTCATGACCTTATATTACCTCACGTCACTTCAAATTTTAAATAATGATTGAAAGGTAACGCCCCTTGATTAATACATCTATTTATGAATTGGATTTAACACCCGTGTCTAATCCCCTTCCAACTTCTGTATAATGATGTTCGCAGGTTTACAAGACATCGACGTTGGTGCCACCGTAACGCGTTGTAACAACCAACACCGTGCCGAGCTACTACCGTGCATTCACGCAACCCAGGTGCCCAATTACGCTTGTACCGTGACCTACGTAAATTCCTCCTCTCCCGAAGGCCGCAAGTCCAAGGAGGCGGTGAGATTTTGCCCTTCATACGTGAGTCACTCTCTACGGCCGTATTGAGGTAAATCAACTCCAGTCACTGCTACCCATTACTCATAACAGGATAAATCTGGCGCCATCAATTCAATATATTTGCTTATAAATATAATCAAAACTCGGTACCAAGCAGAGTGCACCTGAACCATTGTTGACTACAGTAAGTTATTTCGGTTGACGACAGTGGACAGATGGCCAGTGAGGGGCGGTGCGCATTCCCATGCTTTAACCCATGGTTTCGGGTTACGGAACAGAAAAGCGGCAACGACAGTTGGGAGACTAAGCAGGCGACAGAGTGGTGGAATTGTTCGTTCGCATTTAAGATTACGGTATTACGTTCTGCGCGAAGTCGGCCGTAATTCTTCACCGCATACTGTAGCAGCAGAAGCGACGATAATCGCTTTTCAATCGGTTTATGCTTTGGCCGTGCCCGTTGAATAATTAGCCACTTAAAATGCGGTGATGGCCAAGGGATGGATGAGTCGCCCGCGTAATAAAATTCGATTCCCTGTCGAGCGAAGGAATGAGAAGACTCATACTCGCATATTATCATGGTCTCCAATGTGCAACTGTCGCAACTCAAAACTAGTGTGTTTCAGTGTGTGAAAGGTTGGTGGGCAGGGGGGGGGACATCTATACCGACTGGGGATCCCACAGTTGCGCTTGAACGCCACGGCATTTTGCTGCCGCTATCGCTGACGCTTTTCCAGTTAACTCGAACGATGTACGTTTTCAGATTGTTTGCCTCCTCGCTTCGAAGGAGAACGATTCCGCGACTCACTACTGAACATGAACTGCCCTCCCCAAAGTGCGTACTGGAGTTAGTCGGTTCGGTTTTCTTGCGAAGCAACGAAAACGATGAGCCGCCGGTGCTTCATGAAATTTGTCAATGGCTTCAGCAGCAGCGGTAAAAGTGAGTGCCGCTGACAGCAGCAAGAGAGACGGAGCCCGGAAGATGGCCAACGAGCACTGCTCTGGAGACGGCCGGGGCTCCTGGCTGTCCAGAGAGATGTGTCAATTAGGCAGCGATCGTCAAAACGGCACCAACTGACTTCGAGGATAATGTAAACAGATACGCTGGCTGGTCGACTCTTCGACGTCCTCCGTCAGTGCAAGCCTTCAGCACGAACGGACGGCGGCGGCGGCCGGAGTGACGAATGGACCGCTGTTCGCCGACCATGGTCTGTCCTCGGTCGGCGCCATGTTCGACATGCGGTCCGGGCAGCGGAGCCGCCGCCACCGTCTGCGCTGACGAATGGCCAAAAGTTTACATCACTAATTATCCGAAAACAAAAGGATTAAAAGTTCACTAATTACCGCTATGCACTCCACGAGGCAAGAAGCGACCAGCTGACGTATGCTTCTCACATTTTACCCCAAGTCACCTGTTTCGTCTGGCGGCCGTCAAAGAGGCAGCGGCCGAGGTTCGCGCGCCTATTAAACTCAGCTTGGATCAGCTTTCACGGTTTACGGCTTCGTGGCCCCACCCAAGCTACGATACTTCTTCCCTCCTCCTCCCTCAGTTGTCCTGGCTCCGTCGTTTTGGTCACAGTCCCGGTTCCACTCGGATTTCCAGCTACGTGTATATACCTTATCTCAGACATAAAAGCAAGAGCGGCAACGGTGGCATTCCTTTGTGTCGTATGCCATCTGCGCAATTGTACTAATCGGTCAGATAAAGCGCCACACTAGTTAGTTGACGACGTTTAGGGCCCTAAGGGTCAGCGGCATATTTTGATCAATAAGGAGGACTGGTAAACTTATCATTCAAATCACAAGCACTTACGTCATACTAGCGATAAGTAGAACAAGTCAACAATTAAAACAAAAGTCGGTATGGTGATTCGGCGCCAAGGTGGCACCGGGTCCATGAACTCCTCAAGGACATGCACACCCACCCTCAAATCCATGCTGTCATGGTTTCCTGAGTTTAAATCTATCTGAGGGAGGTTACTTTGTAATAAACCTCTTCACAGACCCCGGGTTGATCGCATTTTTACTAGCGAAGAATCAAAAGGAATGCTTCGGTGTCGCGTTGTCTATAGTCTGGAACGTGAATAACGCTCATCTGTATTTCGCCAACCCCGGTTCTATGCATCGTTTCCTAACATCATCCAACCTCAAGCGCTTCCTATCTGTTCTAAGCTTTGTCCTGGTATTCTTCTGCGGGTGCTCTTGCCAACCCTATCTTCCATATTTTTCGGTGCGCTTTATTCTATGCTTGTTTTTGTACACATTTTCTGTGCATAAGCAATACGGTAGCCTGGTTTTAATGCTACCTCTTCGACGACGGTTCGCCTTCCAATTTACGGTAAACAAACAAAACGTGATTTAAGCGCTGAAGCGCTGCAGAATCCAGGTTCTCGCCGTCGTCGGTGCTGCGATTTTCTGCCAAGATCATCAAACGCCTACCGATTTATTGATGGGATTAATTAATTAATTTGAGCAGTTGTTGGTCGTTGATGTGATTCTGCTTTGCGCATGCCAGCATCGACGTCGTAACGCTAGGAAAAACTT